CACACTCAAAAGCTTAATATATGATATGTGGAGTTTTTGAAATAACTATTAATTCTTGTGTTTCAATAACTTGTTTGGATTTTATGATTTAATGTTCCCTTTGAGAAAATGTTGAATCATGTATATCGAGTGAAGGGTTTGATGTTCTATCCACAGTGGGCAGGAGTTATTATGCGTATCGTGTGTAGTGTTGTTGTGTCGTATCCCTACTGCTTGCCACACACACACTGGTTATAATAACTCCTACCCACCGTAGGCAGGACACCACTAATCGAGTTTAATATACTTGTTTAGAGTATAATTAAGTTTCAATAATGGTTTATTCAAGGACAAATAAATTTTTAAGTTTGGAGTTGGTAGATAAGTGTAAATATTACATTTGTTTTTACCAACTAAAATAACATTTGGAAGTGATTACTATGAGCCCAACATTGAAGAAGAAATGATGAAAATGAATGACAATTGATAAAAACTTATTAAAGTTGGACATATTCTGGAAGTTTGGGACTGATGAGTCATGTTTGAATGTTGAAGGACCTCAATTGCAACATTAATGCCTCAATCTCAACCAAATAATAATAATAATAATAATAATAATAATAAATGATCAAATTGCACAAGTGAAAGTTTAATTTCTGGCAACTTGGGATATCCTAATTGAACTAAGATTATTCTTCCCTCTCATCTTTTGGCACTATTTCAGACCTAAATTATGGTCTATAAATAGAGATCATTCGTTCAAATAAAATGGAGGCTAGTGATACAATCTTGAGAGTAAATTACATATTTAAGTACATTAAATTCTCAAGATTCATATTTCAATTTGAGATTTAAAGATTGAAGAATACAATTGGTTGGGAGATAAACATATAGGAGATTGATAATCCATTGTTGGGGATTGGGTGCCAAGGAACAATAATTGCTAGGATTCTTTTCTTTATTCCTTGTGCTGAACTCGATAATATTTTTCATCTTCTTATTATTTAACTCCAATTATAAGATTAACTAAGTAATTGGTTGTTAGGATGAACGATGTAGCTTAAGTTAATGTTTGTTTAATTCAATTAATTTCATACAGTTTTGATTGTGTTCAATATTTATGTATTAATAGACGTTCAATTGCTTCATCACAAATTGTTTGATTCAAATTTATTGATATCATAAGGAGATATATTTTTCTAGTTCGTGCAATAAGTGACATATGTTTTGATAAGAGATAAATGATTATAGCTTATACAATTATGATTGAATTACTACAATTGAATATTTTTATGTGTATGAATTTAAATAGAAATATAGTAAATCTAGGCATGTGAATATAGCTTGTTTTGATCGAGAGAGATTACTAACTAAAATTGGTTAATTCGATTGTTAATACAATATGAAAATGTAATGAATAATGTTGGATAAAATTAATATTAAATAGCCGAAGTAAAAATTGAAATTCCTAATCACTTAATTCCCAAAGTTCTCAACAAATTAAATTAGTTAGATTAATTAAATTATTTTAGTATAGTTTCGTTATGACTTAAATACTTAATTTGTTAATAGGTCACCACATTAATTTAGATTGAAATTAGATTAGAATAAAAATTAATAATAAATGCTTAATCTATGCGAAAACGATATTCGAACTTGAAAATCTGTTTTATTACTTGTCACGATACATGCACATGCAACACATTGATTATTGCCTCTGGTGTAGACTGCACGAGGAATGTGAAAGCAAGCGGTGATGGTTTTGATGGTAGGCAGAGGTGGATAAGGGTGGAGGAGTTGGTGGTTGTTGAATTTGAAAGAAATTATATACACTGTAAAAGGATAACATAAAGCGAGTGTTACATTTTGAAGAAATTACATACACTAACAGGATACTGGTTTAATTATTGTAACTTATGAAATGTAAGATTCCCAAATTTCACTGCAAAAAAAGTTAATTACATTTCATAAAAATTACAGAAAATTTATACCAAATTCTTGAAATATAAGGTAGTTACTTGTTTTTTCAATTTGAGGCCTCCTAATTGTTGACATTTGGGTAATTTTCCCAATACAATTTTGACTTGACCCCGGTAGGCCCCACATTAATGTCTAACTTATATTTGGCAAGAAGGAAAATCAATTCACTTTGTCGAACAGCATCAATATTAAATTTCGGCATCCACAATATAATGGACGGTTGAGGATATTTGAGGTTTAAATTTCACAATACGAATTCAATTTTTAGGATATGACCTTGTTATATTTGCTCAATATATTTTTTGTCGACTTTAGAAAACAGGATAATAAAATCTATCCAGGATTAATTACGTATGAATTTTTAGATTCGTGATCAAAATTTTGATGAGATTTGACACTATCTCCTACCTATAGAGTAGGATCCCAAATAAGACCAAAGAGCAAGGGAACTTAACTCCTTATTTGAAGAGAAATTTTCATGGTTAACTCAGTTTTCAAGAAAATGTAATATAGTCAAGAGCATGTTATGTTAGCAATGTAACAATACGCCAATAAAATAATGTGTGAGATTATTCTTTTCATGACACAACATGTAACATTTTAATATGAGACACAAATTAGTGTAAATCATTAACCATTACATGCGGCATCGTTTATTAATTAAGGAAAATAATATAGTATATATTTAGGAGGGGCTCGATGTAACGTTCAGGTAGAGGTGACCAAAAAAGAAAATCTTATTTCATTCAAAAAAATAGAGAGTACAACACAAGAGCTCATACGCCATGTCATCAAACATCGAGTTTAATGTCCCTCTGCCTTGTGGTAACATTCGAAGTTGTTACTTGAAAGAGGTTTTGTAAATTTTTTATTGTAGTCATATATCGGGAGTCCATAGATTCGCCCCAATTCCCATGAATACATTCAAAATCCATATACAAACTGCTGAATGTTCAAAATTCAAATTTCTATTTGACAATTAACAAAAATATGCTTAGAATTGTAAAGACTGATGAGATTGTTCATGCCTATAGTGTTTTACCGGTCTTCGATCCAAACTAGTCTCTCTTTATTTATTTTTTTCTTTCAAAAAACAAAAAAAAAAAAATTAAAATAAAATAAAAAACACTAAAAAAAAAAAAAGTACACGTGCTGTTTTGTTATGTCACTTGGCAAACTATAACTGCATTGGTTTATATGAGAGAGAGACATGAGATGAGAACCATGAAGTTCATCCAAAGTTCTTGGCAAGGAGCCAAATACAAGGGAGTAATTAAAGGAAGACCGCAATATGAAAACCTCCCTCAGTGAACGTTGCTTGCGGGCAATGCCCAAAAATTCTAACCACTACTGTTATGTATAAGAATGACCCCAACCCTTTTTAACACTAAAAGTATTACTTGTTAGAGATAGGAAAATTTCAAAAATGGCTAGACTAAATTTGTTGTTTTTTACCCTAATGTCATGCCTTTCAACACTGTCAATGG